GCAAACCAGGTCAACCAGTGACTATGTATTATCTCAGTGTTGCGATTGGATAACAAGTTAGCCAATTTACATAAAACTGTAAACACTGGAAAGGTCCATGCTTCCTTGCTTAGGTATTTGGAATGTAGCATTTTTTGTGGTGCCAAAATTAGCTTTACCTTAATTGTAATGTTGTTTACATAGACCTACGTAAGATAATGCATTTTAATTTACATGTACATGACTTAGAGCTTAGATATTTTGGAATGTAGCATTCCGTAGCAGACTGTTGTAAAAGTTGTAACATACATCCTCTCATCTTGTTACTTTATGATAGTTCTCAGGTGAGCAATCAAGGGCAATCATGGCCCTCTTGTTATTTATGTTATGAACATGTATTTATATTGATTTTAAATGAGAACATTTACATTGTATAAGTAAGACTGCATCTGCAATATATGCTATATATACTTATGCATTGAAAACCATTTGTATTCCCTTATGCATTTTTAAATAAAGTTGAATTTTAATATCTTATAAGTTTCATTGTTAATTTTCCCTAGATATTCCAACTTAGATGCATTTTTTGTTCCCTCATATTACCATATTAGTGACATACAGGCATGTCACATGTTATTTATGTACTACAAGTGTTGATGGAAGGTGAGTTAAGAATTAGTTCCACCTGCCAGACTCCCTAATACAATAATTGTTTTATCTTCCACTACATACATGTGAACTTTTTTGGATGATCAAGTGGGAGATTTTTGTTCAAAAAGAGGGAGATTTTAGAATTTGCAATAAACAAAGAAGGAAGTTCTGACATCAAAAATAGGGAGATTTCTTTAATTTTTGAAAATACCCCTTATTTTAAGAAAAATCTTTGGAAGTTTGGATGCAAAAAGTGGGAGTCTCCCGCTTAAAGTGGGAGAGTTCACATGTATGCCACTACAACATTACAGATTTTTTTAAAACAAACTCAATAATAACTTAACCAATTTACATAGTAAGATGCATTGACTTGTGCAGAGGTTGAGTCGAAGTTTCCTTTCAATATTGTATAATTGTTTTACATGAAAAAGATATGTACAACAGTCAAAATATGAAGCATCTTTAAACATTTCACCACTACTTTGATAAGTACAAAATGACTTTTATACAAACATAAACATGTTTTTATTTAAGTTTTTAAAGGATCTTTTAGCAAAAAAACCATTTCTGTAGGGCAAAATGTCCAAGTATCATCATAAGAAAATGTTAGATAATCATCTCGTAACTTTAGACCTACTCTTCACAGTTGCATGACAATGTTATGCTTTGCTTGAAGAAATTGCTATAGGGAGAGTGCATTCTTGCTAGACAAGCGATTTGTACACATTGGAAACAATTATGATAAATGATTAATATCTTAAGTGACATATTTTATTTATAAAAACAAGGTTAATTTTTTTAAGAAGTAACATGCATCCCCCATCCCAGAGGTTCTATTCAGTTTTAGCACAGAATACAAACATTTATATAATTCTCTTTTTTATTAAGTGCTGCCAACAAATTTATAACTCTTGATAAAACCAGCATTGCAAACATCTTTTAATGTTTACAAAACAAACTCAAACATTATTCAAAGCTGAAATAATTTGCTTTATTCAGATTTATACAAACAGTGTACATACCTAACACATATATCACTTGCATTGTAAAGAAGATTATACAAGAGCTGTCCGTAAGACAGCGCGCTCGACTTTTTTATTGCTTGCCAATAAAAAAAGTTTTTGCAGTAAAAGGCAATACAAGAATCTCTGTATTTTTAAAGTGAACAATGGCCATGAGCATTAAGATATTTAGTGAAGAATTATTTTTTTTAGATTTTTTAAGTTTTTTAGTGCTTGCCTATAATACAAAACATTGACAGTTAAGGGCCATAATTCAAATAAAATCTTTGACAGAATTACCTTCTCCTGGACATGTTTGGGAATCATGATTGTAAACAAGTATTCCAACTTTCAAATTAATATCTCAAACAGTTCAGTCAAAAAGTGGACTGGTACTAAATACTTAACCAAGATTCTAAGTCGATAAAAGGCCTTAATTTTTAAAACAAATCCTTGACAGAGTTACCTTCTCTTGCGTACAGATGGGGGTAATGATGTGAAATAGCATTAAAAGTTTCAAAGCAATATCTCAAAGGGTTAAGGCAATAAGTGGATTTTACCCATATTCAATGTATTTTCTAAGTCAAAAAGGGGCATAATTCTGTCAAAAACCTTGACAGAGTTATGTCCTCTTGTCTGTTGATGAAGGTCGTGATGGTAAACAAGTATGGTCAGTTTCAAAGCAATACCTCCAATGGTTTTGAAATAAAGTGAGGTGGTACAAAAAACTTAACCAAGCTCAATACACTTTCTAAGTCAAAAAGGGCCATAATTCTGTCAAAAAACCTTGACAGAGTTATGTACTCTTGTCTGTAGATGGAGGTTATGATGGTGAACAAGTATGGTAAGTTTCAAAGCCATACTTGTAATACTTCTGAAATAAAGTGGGGTGGTACGAAAAACTTAACCAAGGTGTGACGCCAACGCCGACGCCGACGCCGGGGCGAGTAGGATAGCTCCCCTTTTCATTGAAAAGTCGAGCTAAAAATGTCAAACCAATAGTCAATAATTGAGCAGACATTAATTCAGTTTGAATCATTTTATCATAAAAAAATAACAAACATATTAATCTAAGAACATAACTAAAGTATGACAAAGTAAACTATACTCATTTTATGAGCAGTTTTTATTTCTTCATTTCACACAATAACACCTTGAACCAACCTTATATGAACCACAGAAATATGAGCATGATAACTGAAAGTACACTGCAACAAATGACAAAACAGAATAAGTAATTATAAAGTAAATATGGTTGTTAAATAGCATTTGATTTTTTTTTTTTCAAAAAAAGTTTAAGAAACATTCATGAACATTTTAAAGTAGAAATGTGTCAACAGGACACTATTGCTTTTACTTAAGTTCCCTGTCGAAGTGACATATGAACATCCTTTTACACGTTTCATAAAATTTAACACTTCTATTAATTAATAAATAATATGCATAACAAAAATATAATATAATTAACTTCACCAAGGAAACTCTTCTGATTAGACAATGATTTTGACATCAAGTTTCACTGAGACCTTGACCCAATTACCTCAAAACCAATAGGAGAGCAATGGGAAAATATATAAATCTTTTATTCTTGTTTGTGTTATTCTGACCTTATAATGTTGATGAAATGGCCTTAGTATTGTATACTTTATTTTATTGTTCTGTAAGTTTTTAATATTTTGCTCATGTTTGTCTTGCATATAGAGAAATAAATCTTTGACCTTATGACCTCAAAATCATCCAATGGCCATGACAATGTTCCTACTAAAAAGTTTAAAGCGAATAAAAAAATGAAATGGATAAACACATGCATATACAGAATACTGACTGATACAGGTATAATGAAAGACTAGTTTATGTAGGAATGGATTCTGTGAGTTAGTTTGAAACATGTCTAATTAAAATGTCAACCATAGTTACAGTGACTTGAAAGCAAATGGTATAGACAATGGTATAGATGGCGAGTAAAACTAGCAAAAATGACTATATTCTTGTTTCAAAAATATTCTTTTTCAATCTGAGAATAACCTTGCATTGTTTGTGGTCATCAAAGGTAAATGAACAAATTTTGGACTGCACACGTTTGCTTTGTATATACTTCAATACTTAAAAAGAAAATACAACCAACATTAAAGACCTAAATATATAGATCCCACATCTTTATCAAGGGAATAGCACTAATGATTATAAGTTTCATGTATCTAACTTGTATACTTTTTGAACTAGTGCAGAATCCACTTTAAAAGGCCTTTACTTAGGAAAGAAAAAAATGATGCACATAATTTCCTTGATGTTAACTAAATTCTAAGCTTTGTTAACCTATTTTATCTTGATGAACCACAAAGGAGTTACTTTGATTCTTTTTGTAATTGTAGCAAAGCAGAATTCTGATCATATAACATGCAAAAGTTATAAACATGGGTAACGTACTTAAAACAAATATGTATAGTATAAACTTGTCACCTGGAAAACTTGTTACTGGGAACCATGAATAATGTTTTAATACTGTATGTAGTAAACTTTGAAAATTTAAGTGGTGGAAACATGTGCTTTCAATCCGAGTTGGTATATATTATCAGTGAGTCTATGTACAGACATATGCTTTCTATACAAATTGGTACATATTATCAGTGAGTCTATGTACAGACATATGCTTTCTATACAAATTGGTACATATTATCAGTGAGTCTATGTACAGACATATGCTTTCTATACAAATTGGTACATATTATCAGTGAGTCTATGTAAAGACATATGCTTTCTAAAAAATTGGTATATATTATCACTGAGTCTATGTAAAGACATATGTTTTCTATACAAATTGGTATATATTATCACTGAGTCTATGTACAGACATATGCTTTCTATACAAATTGGTACATATTATCAGTGAGTCTATGTAAAGACATATGCTTTCTAAACAAATTGGTATATATTATCACTGAGTCTATGTAAAGACATATGCTTTCTATACAAATTGGTACATATTATCACTGAGTCTATGTAAAGACATATGTTTTCTATACAAATTGGTATATATTATCACTGAGTCTATGTAAAGACATATGTTTTCTATACAAATTGGTATATATTATCACAAGTCAATGTACAGACATATGCTTTCTATACAAATTTGTATATATTATCACTGAGTCTATGTAAAGACATATGTTTTCTATACAAATTGGTATATATTAACACTCATGTACAGTCTTTAGACATGTGCTTTCAGTCTGAGATGGTATATATTATCACTGAGTCATGTACAGACTTTGTTTCCAACGTGAGTTGGTAGTTTCTGTCACTCTATATACAAACATGTGTTTCCAATCTGAGTTGGTGTACATTTTCACTCTGAGTCTATGATAACATATGCTTTTAATCAGAGTTGGCAGAAGCAATACCAGAATCTGCATGGGGGAAAGGCTCATTCTCGGAACCATCTGAACTGAAATATAAAAAGTAACATTTTTGGAATTTGTTATGAAACTTGTCCTGATGCTCTTTATACATATTTAAATAAATAGCTGTTCTAGTATAAGTGATACTAAAGTTAAACAAGACGGTCATGTAAGTTCTTGGCTGTACTCCTTAGTTCTTTTTAATAATACATGTAATTATTCATGTACATAGTAAAAATTACTTGTATTTAAAAGTATTTTACTAGTAAGTACTTCCAGAAATATATTGATAGAAAAGTGAATAAGTGGCCACCCAGAGACATGTCAAGCCCCTTAACAGCAAAGAGGTTTATTCAAAAGGATAAACCACTTGTTTTTGTTAATGTTTGTTCAAAGATGTTTTTGGGGTCCATATATCAAGTCATGGCAGTGTTTGCTATTTATGAATGGATTGACTTCATATTAAGACACAACATTCTTTAGGATAAAACTTTCATGTACATCAAACTCAAAATGACATTGGCTCATTTATGACCTTGACCTTGATTTTAAGTTACTTTTTAAGTTCTTGGTGTATTGTCTTCATACTTGGCCACAACAACCCTTGGAACAAGACCTTCAAGTAGACCAGACTAAACAGAACTTCATTCATAAATGATCTTGACCTTGAAACTTTACCACAATGACCTTTTAGGATAGATTTAGTTAAGCAGACAGACCTTGACCTTCACTCATTAATGACTTCGACCTTGAAAATCAAATTATTAAAATTTTCTTCTTTCTTTGCTGTAACTGGCTATAACTTTATTTGACTTGTTGTTATTGTTACTTTGACTGGATTGACTTCATATAAAACAAAACATTCTATGGGATAAAACTTTCATGTACATCAAACTCGAAATAACCTTGGCTCATTTAAGACCTTGACCTTGACGGTTAAATTATTGATTTTTTTCTGATTTCAGTTAAAGTTTATGAACGGCCGGACAACGGACTAAAAGCAATCACAAAAGCTCACCATGTCACTTTGTGACAGGTGAGCTAAAAAGGAGAAACCTCTTTTTCTTTAATTTTGTTTTTAAAGAACTGTTTGCTTATAGAACAAGAACTGTCGGAGGACAGTATTGGCTCGACTATTCGAAAAAGTTGTCATAAGGGTGTTTTATTGAGTATACTATAATAATGCTAATTACCTATGAATACATGAAATTGACAGAAAAGGTACAAAGGCTTGTTATTAAGATGTTTTATCAAGTAAATCACTGCTTTATTATGAATGCATAAAATTGTCCCAAAAAAGGCACAAACCCTTTAGTAGTTATGGAGATAACAGCTTACAAGCAAAACTTTACCATGAATTTCTAAGTTGAAAAAGGGGAGAAAAATCAGCCTAAATGCAAGATAGAATTATGGATCTTGGTCAGTGACCTACAATTATGACCCTAAATGCATATGTGAAGTTTTAAATAAATATCTTTAATAGTTATTGAGATATGTAAAACTTGCATGTAAACATTAACCAAGAGACTAAGTAGAAAAGGGGAGATGAATCAGCCTAAATGCAAGATAGAGTTATGGAACTTGGTCAGTGACATACAATTATGACCCTCCAATTATGACCCTAAGTACATGTGTAAAGTTTCAAGTAAATATCTTTGAAGACCTTTAACCAAAATTTCTAAGTTTCAAAGGGGCAAATAATTCTGCAAATATTGCAGGCAGAGTTATGCAATTTTGCAAACTGATGTACATTGTTACTATAAAAAAGTATTGTAAATTTCAATTGAATATCTCAAGCAATAATTGAGATATTTGACTTTACAAAAAAAATTAACCAAAATTTCTAAGTTAAAAGGGGCATAATTCTGTAAATATTTTAGGCAGAATTATCCAACTTGTCAATCTGACGTACCTTGTTACTATAAATAAGTAATGTAAGTTTCAATTGAATATCTCAAGCAATAATTGAGATATTTGACTTTACAAAAAACTTTAACCAAAATTTCAAAGTAAAAAAGGGGCATTATTCTGTCAATATTGTAGGCAGAGTTATCCAACTTGTCAATCTGATGTACCTTGTTACTATAAATAAGTAATGTAAGTTTCAATTGAATATCTCAAGCAAAATTGAGATATTTGACTTTACAAAAAACTTTAACCAACGCAGACACCGACGCAGACGTCGGGGTGACCACAATAGCTCTTATATTCTTCGAATAGTAGAGCGAAAAAGTGAAAAAACGTTTTGACTTTTGAGCTACAATTAAAGTTCTTACAAACCAATTAGTATGATCATAAAAGTTTTAATTAATATTCCAGTTATGCAGGCAACACTCTTTTATCATTTGAGGTTTACCTTTGTAGCAATTTATTTAAGAATCCATAAATCTATGGCTAAGAAACCCTCAAATTCTGAATAATGCAAAAAATGCTGACTGTTTAAAGCTACATTTAATAAATTTCATAAAAACAGAAATAGCGAAATTTCATTAATAAATTGGGTTTCATATCGACTCCAGATCTTATTTTGGTGTCCAGTCAACCAAAATGAGTTTTATAAGCTAAAAATCTGCAAGCTCATTGTGGTGAATTTGTCAGTACTATTTCTTTTAGCATGAGAAACTCCGCCTTTGGATCATCCGTACATCAATATTAAATCAACAAACATGACTATAAGTGGCAGTCCTAATTTCACAGTATATTTCCGCATTGTAACGGGTGTTTTCATATAAATTTAATCTTTTTAATGAGATTACTTTTTGAACCCCATGCTTAGTGCACCGTGAAGCTAAAAAGCTTAAAGTGTGTTTACACAAGAAAATATCATATTTGCTGTGTTTTGGATAGCAACTTTAAAACTGTGATGTAGCGCATACATGAGCTGATTACAGTCTTAATTTGCATGTTAAAATTCGTATACGAACTTTAGTGTAACCGTTGGGTAATCCGTTTAAAATCCTAATTTATGAACAATATTTGATGCGATTTTCAACAATACTGTTAAAAAGGTTAATGAAACTGTAGAATGCTTGGATTTTAGGCCTACGGCAAAATATTTTTGCATATTTATTTAATGTAGCTTTAATGTGTATTTTATGATTATTCATACCTATCATCATCTTCTTCATCTTCATCATCATCATCACTGACTTCTTCCCCAGAATCATCACTTTCATCGTCATCATCGTCGTCATCATCATCTTCATCATCATCATCGTCGTCATCATCATCTTCTTCTTCTATAAAAAATATTGTCACTATAAAGATTATACCACGCAAGAAATATCAAGTATTACACAATCATTTGTTTCCAGAGACAATGAATGTACTAGAGGTACATGTACTGAATCTGTCTCAGTCTTAAAATTAATATAATTATAGCCTGTAATTTCACACTGTACACTTTATTCTTTAGAAATGATTCGGACTATTAAGAGAAGCCAGTTGGTGAAATAAAAGACTTCAGCAATGACAAGATTTCTGACAGTAAGTTTTAAATAATGAAAATCCTACTTACACTGTAATTATAAAGCAATAGGTTTCATTTCTGATTTTAATACAAATTTGTTGAAACTATTAAAATATAATATGTGCAGAAAAAAACAACATTATGCATGTAAGAATGATTTATTTTGGTACATGATTCATGGATGATAAATAGGCAGACTTGCCATAATTTCTGACACAAAACAGAGTAAAACTATTTGAAATAATATTTGAAAACATAGCAATACAATATAAACAAAGTGCATATACCTAGCCTCCTTTTCTCCTGAATCAAAGGATAAAAGTTCAAGGCCTCTTCATTCTCAGGCTCATATATCAGAACTGCAATAAACAAATACATGTCTAAGCTACATTCCAAGTTCATTAACCCATTACCAGATATACAGATATACAGGCCTAATAACACCTTTTTCACCCCCCCCCCCTTTTTGTTCCTTTTTAGACCCCAAACACTTGTTTTTGTTGAGAAATGTTGTTTAAAAAAGTGACCACTTTTTCGGGCCACCCCCCTACCCAAAAGATACATCAGCAGCCCCCCTCATTGCCAAGAAAATTTTGGACTTGTGAGAGACTAAAAATGACCCCAGGTCGATCATAAGGTAACACGTAACCAAAACTGAAAAGCCTTTGACTCTATCTCAATCCATTGAGAAGTTTGCAGCACTTTGAAATCAATTTTGATGGAAAAAATCAATGCAAAATAGTGATTTTTGGCAATTTTGAGATGTCCCCTCATTGCCATGGTAACAGGAAATTTAAGACTGAGCATGTTGTTACAAAGGCAATGGTCCAGTCAACATTTGTGCCAAGTTTGATTAGTATTGAAGCAGTTTTTATAGTTGTATAGCAATTTGAGACTTTTCAATGAAAACAGCCATTTTTCACAAAATGCTCATGCAGTAATTGGTTAAATCCGGCTTAAAATCCTGTTACATTAAAAACAAAAAAAAAGCAGACCAAATGCATAACTGCAATAACTCCAAATAAATAGAGACTTAGATGAGATTTGAAGAAAAAAGTTCAATAGGGATAATACAAAGTACAAAACTACACAAATATATCAAGTTTTACAAACTAATTCTTCTCAAATTTATTGAGTGGACAAGGATTTTACACAGTGTCTGACATTGTGGCCTTGATCTTGAATCTAATGACCTCAAACAATCAACTTCAGTCATCTACTTGCCATGTCTGTACCAAGCTTATTCCTTTTCAAATTTTTGGTCAAACAATGAATTTATTAAAGTATCACTGTGACCATGACTTTTGACCTAATGACCTAAGAAACAATTGGGAGTCATTTACTGACCATTGGCAATGTCCTAACAAGTTTGATAAAGTCAGGCTTGTTCCTTTACCAAATAAATGATCAGACAAGGATTTTAAACACTGACCTAATGAAGGAGGTACAAAGGGATGTATGTTTGGCACCAACCCCATCATAGTACATAAGAACAGTTCAAATAGAAAATTTCCTGAAAAAAATAGTGTTTTTTTTTATTTTAACAAATGGCCATAACTATAAAACTTCTTACTCATTTTACATAGTTTCTCAGCATTTTCATAATCCTCTTCCATCATACATGATAAGAACTGGAAAAACAAAATTGTACATTGATGCAGAATGCTTCATAATGCTTAGACAAAATTTTGAGCTGTAACAACATAAAAACAAATCAAGGTGTTGGGGTAAAATGAAGACTGTATTTAAGAGGAGAGAAAAGTCTGCGGATGAGTGGTTAAGGTTGTTGACTTCAAACCATTTGTCCTTCACCACTGTGGGTTTGAATCCCAACAGGGACTTTGGATTCTTTCATGTGAGGCAGCTATCCAGCTAGCTTACACAATGTTGGTGGTACTACAGTACTCAGGTACCAGTTCGTGTCTGAAATAATGCATGGAAGGGCACCTAAGGTTTTCTTCCACTAGTAAAGCTGAAAAGTTGCCATATGACCTTTACTGTTTTGGTGCGATGTAAACCCCAACAACAAGAAGAAGGACAAATTAAGTTGAAGTGCTGTAAAACAATTTGAAGGCCTATGGTGTAATTGATTTGAAACCATCTGAATGATACTGTCTTACATAAGATCTACAAATTGTTTGGAAATGATGTCTAAAGGTTATGCTAAGGTCAGTTGCTTTTGGGCCAAATTTGCAAACTAGCATGTTTTATGAATTCAGAATATGTGCAATAAGAGCTTGCTTCAAGTCACTAAACAATGTTGTTATTGATAACTTTTATAAATATCTAATCACCTGCTGTTATTGGAAGAAAAATAAGATTTTTTCTTGTATTTGGGGTTTTCATGTGATAAGATGAAGAAATAAATTCTTGAGAGGGGATATACACCAATTCAATAATCAATGAAGACAGTTCATAAGATATTATCATAATTATTGTGTATTACCTCCATAAGAAGATTATTAGGGGCTTTCCCTTTCTCTCCAATAAGGTCGTCCTCCTCATCGTCACTTTCCTCATCACTAGATGTCTCTGCTGAACCCTCATCATTTTTCTCACTGAAATATACGCTATAAATGTCTGAACAATATAATGTTATTCCATAGGGAATGCTTTATATAAATCTAGAGTAATACATTAACTCAAGAGTAAATAAATAGGATTGAACACATTTTCCAATGAATATCCTTTACAAATTCAATTATTCCCCATGTTTAGTTACCAAGAAATTCAGTAAATGTCATTTGTAACAAAAAATACTCCAGATAATTTTTATTGTGCTTTGTTAGTGGCCAAAGGATCATCTTTTATGGTATTGAAGACATGAAAATTAGGTAAAAACTAGCAGCCTGTATACATATATTCCTTTAAATCTTCTATTCTGATTTGTACATAATAACACTTCATCACTCATGTACAAAAAGGTTAAAATACTAAGGAGATTTATATTTTACCTTTCATTTTCAACCGGTTTTACTTCTTGTTTGTCTTTTTCTGAAAGACAACCATAACTACATAAGAAATCTCAGAATGACCATGGACATGGAAATAATCAACATGATTCTATATTTATGAACATTAATCAAAAAATCCATCATGACATCAATAAAATATCATTGTAACAAGCTGATCCAATGTCTATGTCAAGTATGTCATGATTTTCACACAGTTGAAATATGAAAACTTTTGTACCAGGGTTGCAAGAGTAATTAAAACCACAAGGCAGTTGTGAAGTTGGAAGCATGTTATATCAAATTTTGACCTCTGACCCATTAAATATAGCCTTGAACTTGAGGAATCAATAGGCTGTTGCATGCAAAACATCATCTCATTGAGGTAAATATTTTATCCAAGTGACATAAGAATCCATTTATCTAACACCAAGTTATACCTAAGACAAATACACTACAACTAATGTTTAGCTCAACATAAATTCAACAAAATACTCTGACTAACCTTCACCTATAAGTGTCTTCTCGTTTTTATCCAACACATTTTTACTGATCTCATTTTCTCTTTTTCTTTTCTGATGCTGGGAATTCGCTTGAACTAAATTATTTTTACTTTTTCCCATTCCATCTAATATAAAATCACTATCAATATTATCTCTATGATCTCGATTTGATAAATCTCTGAAATGATCATTTCTATATGTGAATTGTCCATCCTCAATAGTTAACTTGTTATCAGTTTTAACACCATGTCTTTGTAATTCAACATTTAGTTTTCTTTCCCTCTCCTCGCGTTCTGTTTCAATCTGTTCAAGTTGTTTTGAAAGACTAGCTTCTTCTTCATCTATACGACATGTGCTAAGGGCGGAGGTCATTTGTCTAGTTCGATCTTCAATTAGAGCCAGTTGATCTTCAGCAGATAGTGGAGTGTTTCTAGGAGAAAGTGAATCATCATCACTGACTGCTATAGGTAATGTTGGTACCCTGTGAAAATATGTGTAACAGTTAATTGCTATAAAATATTTTTAACCCTACTGGAAAATGATTATGCTCTGTCACCAGTATAGAGCCAGGCAAGCCTATACTTCTGTGCAATATGACCATATTCTATGATGTTAGCTGACCAACTTTAAATTTTCATCTTGATATCCCCAAAATTGGTAATGGACAGTTCCGAAAGAGGAAACTTAATTATGTCAAAATATTAGCTAGAGTTATGGGCCTTCGAAAGTTTCCTCCTGTTAAGACCACAAACAAGTATGTGAAGGTACAAGCAAGTATCTATAGTAGTTGATGACATATGATGTTGTACAAGAAGATGTATGTCAAACTTTAACCAGTGTAACATTAACACTGTTGCAAAGGATAGTCCTATATTTAGTATATTCTTTGAATAGTCAAGCTAAAAGTACATTAGAATTATGCAACATGAAAAATGATAAATACCTCTCATCAGTCCTGTTAGGTTTATCTATCTCATTCCAATCTATCGCCTCTAAAGGTTCAATCCTATTCACAAATGGAAATATTACTTTAACTGGTGAGAATCAATTTGAATAATCATTAATGATTTATCATGTAAATAAAATATCAGAAAATTGTTGTTTGATCTTGTTACATATAAATTATTATTTAGAAGTTAGTCTTGTCAAACTATATTACAAGAAATAAGCTCTTGATATAAGACTCTGTTTTCTCTTTACCACTTTGATTCTGATTTCAAACTTTTTATTTTCTTTCCTCCTTGAGGAATAAGATCATAAAACACTAGACAGACAGACTGACAAACAGACAGACAGACAGACTGACAATCAGGCATATGTGGCAAAACTTTAGTCCCATCAGGAACTAATAATTTATATGACTGATAAATATTATCAATGGCAACACTATAAAGCTTAAATGGTTCCAAGGTGAAAGTTCCACCACATAATCAACAGGCCAGTGTTCATTTCAAAGTGGTTGAGATTGTTGACTTCAAACTACTTGCCCCTCACCACTGAGGTTTTGTTGGTGATTCTACTTAGGTGCCCGCTTGTGCCTGAAAAAAAATGCACAGAAGGGCACCTGAGATCTTCCTTGTAAGCTTGTACGGCTGGAAAGTCCTCATATGAACATAAAAGTGTCAGTGTAACTTAAGAAACAACAAAATGTCAACATTGCTAAAATAACAATAACATAGGCAGTTAATAATTTCGGAACCTACTTTTCTTCTTTGCGTTTGACTGCCTGTAAAGAGATCTGTTTAGAGGGTGTTGGAGTTCTTCTAGACATTGAGCCAGAACTTAAACTTGATCTGAAATATTAGAACTACACAATATCATATTCTATCTGAACATCTTTCATTCTCATATAAATTCTTTTATAAATATAAGCTCTCAATATTTTCAAAGCACATTTTTCTTAATAAATTTCATCACCTTTTACATTTTTTTATAGAAGTTGTCAAAAAATGTTTGCCTCATATTTAAACGCAACACTTCAATGACACCCTAGATACAATGTGTAACATTTGCAATTGACCAGGCCTCTTACCGGCTGGAAATAGGTGTGTTCCTATCAAAGTTAGAGCCATTCCATAAAACATCTTCTGACACTTCATCTGAAATATATACATGTATAATATTTACTCTTGAAATATCTGTTTCCTTTTTTAAAGTACATGTATCAGTAAAATCAGAATTCTCAGTCTCACTCAAACAAGAGGGCCATGATGGCCCTGGATCGCTCACCTGACACAACCGCATCCAAGCAATGTCTTAAACAAGCATCATGGCCAAGTTTGATGACAACTGAGTCAAACATGTGACCTCTAGCGTGTTATAAAGATTTTTCCATATTTGGGCAATGTGACCTAATTTTTGACTGGACACGGCCCATATTCAAACTCGACCTAGAAATCATCAAAACAACCTTCCTGACCAATTTCCAGGAAATTTGGATCAAAACTGCAGCCTCTAGAGTGTTAAAAAGATTTTTCTATTTTTAGCTCCTGTGACCTAGTTTTTGACCGGACATGACCAATCTTAGCACTTGACCCAGAAATCATCAAAACAACCTTCCTGACAAATTTCCAGAATATTTGAATCAAAACTGCAGCCACTAGTGTAAACAAGCTTTTTCTATTCCAAGCTCCTTTGACCTAGTTTTTGACCTGAGATGACCCATCTTCGAACTTGACCCAGAAATCATCAAAACAACCTTCCTGACAAATTTCCAGAATATTTGAATCAATACTGCAGCCACTAGAGTGTTTACAAGCTTTTTCTATTTTTAGCTCCTGTGACCTAGTTTTTGACCGGAGATAACCCATCTTTGAACTTGACCTAGAAATCGTCAAAACAACCTTCTTGACAAATTTCCAGAATATTTAGATGAAAACTGCAGCCACTAGAGTGTTAACAAGCTTTTTCTATTTTTAGCTCCTGTGACCTAGTTTTTGACCTGAGATGACCCATCTTCGAACTTGACCTAGAAATCATCAAAACAACCTTCCTGACAAATTTCCAGAATGTTTGGATGAAAACTGCAGCCACTAGAGTGTTAACAAGCTTTTTCTATTTTTAGCTCCTGTGACCTAGTTTTTGACCGGAGATGACCCATCTTCGAACTTGACCTAGAAATCATCAAAACAACTTTCCTGACAAATTTCCAGAATATTTGGATGAAAACTGCAGCCACTAGAGTGTTAACAAGCTTTTTCTATTTTTAGCTCCTGTGACCTAGTTTTTGACCGGAGATGACCCATCTTCGAACTTAACTTAGATATCATCTAAACAACCTTCCTGACAAATTTCCAGAATATTTGGATGAAAACTGCAGCCACTAGAGTGTTAACAAGCTTTTTCTATTTTTAGCTCCTGTGACCTAGTTTTTGACCGGAGATGACCCATCTTCGAACTTGACCTAGAAATCATCAAAACAACCTTCCTGACAAATTTCCAGAATATTTGGATGAAAACTGCAGCCACTAGAGTGTTAACAAGCTTTTTCTATTTTTAGCTCCTGTGACCTAGTTTTTGACCGGAGATGACCCATCTTCGAACTTAACTTAGATATCATCTAAACAACCTTCCTGACAAATTTCCAGAATATTTGGATGAAAACTGCAGCCCCTAGAGTGTTAACAAGCTTTTTCTATTTTTAGCTCCTGTGACCTAGTTTTTGACCGGACATGACCCATCTTCGAACTTGACCTAGAAATCATCAAAACAACTTTCCTGACAAATTTCCAGAATATTTGGATGAAAACTGCAGCCACCAGAGTGTTAACAAGCTTTTTCTATTTTTAGCTCCTGTGACCTAGTTTTTGACCTGAGATGATCCATCTTCGAACTTGACCTAGATATCATCAAAACAACCTTCCTGACAAATTTCCAGAATATTTGGATGAAAACTGCAGCCACTAGAGTGTTAACAATTTTTTTCTATTTTTAGAATCTGTGACCTAGTTTTTGACCCGAGATGACCCATCTTCGAACTTGACCTAGATATTATTAAAACAACCTTCCTGACAAATTTCCAGAATATTTGGATAAAAACTGCAGCCTCTAGAGTGTTAACAAGCTTTTTCTATTTTTAGCTCCTGTGACCTAGTTTTTGACCCGAGATAACCCATCTTCGAACTCGATCTGTATTTCATTGAGACAAACATTCTGACAAAGTTTGATGATTATCCAATCAAAACTTTGACTGCTAGACTGTTAACAACCCAATTGTTAGAGTGTTAACAAGCTTTTTCTATTTTTAGCTCCTGTGACCTAGTTTTTGACCGGAGATGACCCATCTTCGAACTTGACCTAGATATCATCAAAACAACCTTCCTGACAAATTTCCAGAATATTTGGATGAAAACTGCAGCCTCTAGAGTGTTAACAAGCTTTTTCTATTTTTAGCTCCTGTGACCTAGTTTTTGACCCGAGATAACCCATCTTCGAACTCGATCTGTATTTCATTGAGACAAACCGATGGCTCAGCGCAAAACTCAGCTAACACCATTTTTTGAAATTTTACAGGAGGGTGAAAAAACTGTCTTATTTTTTACCCTACAGATATCTTTTAAATATTCTATTATTTCTGTATCATGCTAAAGGCCTTGAAACTTACATGATAAGTCATTTTTAAATGGAATTAATTTTTAATGGTTTTAAAGCAATAATTTGAGTTAGCATGGGTTTTGCGCTGAAAATCAAAGACTTTTCTAAAAACAAGTGAGTGCAAAACTAGGCCAAGTCAACTTGGATGAGTTTTGCACTTGCAAATGAATGATATGTTGAAACAAAAGTTGTTAAATATGTGCTAAGTCAAGTTAACATAATTTACAAATCTATTTGAATTATATAATAAGAGGAAAAAATACATACAATGAACATTCTGAAACAGTTCAAATCATTTAATTGTCAAAATTGATATTTCTATTTTTTCTATTAAGCAATGCAACTTAAATATGACAATATTTGTAACTTAGAGTGAACATTACTATTTATACACTTGTAGTCTTATAAAATGGAAATGTTAGGAATAAGGAATTAAACCTGAAGTGCAAAAATAAATAAGATCTTTGTACATTTCATATGAAATGTTTTGGTAATTTTTGCACAAGCAATGAGCACAATTTTAACTAAATCTTTGTTATTCATTTTCTTCACATGGTATGGTGTTTTCAAAGTGAGCTGTTGTGGTATATTAAGTTGCTCTCTGAGAGAGCTTGTTTTATTATTATAATTGATAACAAATATTTGAGAAATTAGCTGATTCAATACCGGCATGGCACAAACTGTTTCTCATTTTTAGTATTTAATATTTTTGTTCCTCCCTACTAATAATAAATTAAATTTTTAGATAGTATACCACATTATAGAAACATTGCTCTACCTTTGAGTAGCTTTGAAGTTATTATTGTAGAATACAAATTGTTCATTCCCCCTTTTAAATGTTTCATCTTAAAATTTATCAAAAGCTTGACTTGAAATTTCACTTGATCTTTAAATGACTTATTCTTTGAATGCAATAATATGATCAAACCCTTGTTATGATGTACCGCAATATATTGTGATACAGTCAACCTGTAATGCAATATATTGATTATGTTATAAAAAGTGCTAAGTATTAGCTATGAACAGATGTTTGAAATGTTTATATAATTATATCACATTAAAAGTTAAAACTTTATCAAAAAATAAAAATATTTGGACTATGTGATATTTACTTGGGCCAATGGCTGAGTAGGAGTATGTATAAGCCAGGTCCATAGACTTACTTACTGAAATTTTAACACTGGAACCGATTTATTATGTATAGAATCAAAAATCTACATTTGGTAAATCTACAAAGTTGTCTGATAATCCTCCCACCCCCACCCCCCTGTTTTCTGCTTTGTATACCTTTTTGACAGTGTGTATAGTGCTTTAGTATTTTTGACAGAAAAAGCACTATCGGAATCCAGAAGTTTATTTTGCAATTTGCAAAACATTGTTTTTGACTGGCTGGTATTAAGGTGTTAGTTAAGTCTTACTAAATTCAATATAACCATTTTAATAATGAAAGGGTCCATAACTCTTGATACCTTTATCTTATTTTATCAGTTATAAGATTAATTAAAGATAAGAGACACACAAGTATTTTTATGCAAATTGATAAGATTACGGTACTTTAGAAATGTTAAAAAAACATTGCATACAAGATAAAAAGTGCCTATTTCTATGAATAAACAGAATGGTGATGAAAAAATCTAAATCATAAACATTTAAAATCATATGATGATAAATAATGTGTTCAATTTTTGTATATACACATGTATATTAAATATTATCAATTAAGAGATTTTCATTTAATATGATTTTGGGATGGAAACAAGTTCAAATGATAAAGAAAATTGAAAAACCTTTAACCTTTGTTTTTATTATTCTCTTACAGTGTAAAATCAAATTCAGCTGTGGTTTTCTGCCATTATTAAAGCATTGTGTTCAAGTCTGACTTTCTGAAGACAAATTGTAGAACTAAATTTTTTTTAAAGGTTTTATGCAAATATTTAAGTTATTAGAATTTTGATTAATTAGGGTTTGAATCATGATCCAGTGATATCTTAGATGTAACAATTATATACCGGAACCGTATTAATGTCAAGCTCTGAATTTTAATCCAGTAAACGTTACAGCCCTACTATTGATACATGTATATAAAATTCATCAGTTTGTAGTTTTATTAACACTATTTTTTAGCATACTCTGTAAAACAATAGTATAGGAAATAAACCAATTGCAATTTTCAATATCAACAAATTTCCACATTATTTTAAATTTCAAATATTGAATAATATTACATTAATATAGAAAATTCACAGCTTTCACATGTATAGAACTGTAATTTAATTTTATGTTTAAAATTTGTTAAACATATCTTTCATTTATTCTCTACTGGGTATTGCAATGAAAAATTAATATTGTGATATATTGCAATATATACAGACATTATTGCATATTATACAAATACACATGTATGGACTTTTTAGGTGGTGAATATGATATGTACTGAAAAAGTTAATATTGACCCGAGGCGATAACGATGGTCAATATTAATTTAGCAGTACATATCACATCGTATTCACCAGCTAAAAAGTACATATCTGTTTTATTATATAATTTATAAATAGGTTTTATATGGCTTATTAAATCTGCCATTGCCTACAATGGAAATCGACATTTTTAGCTTGTCTAATTTTTCCATAAATTGGCCCTTTCTTTTTAGTGAGTGTATTTATTTAGCAAGCTTATTTTTAGTGTTCCTTAAAATGTAAAGACTAATTTGACTCTTATTAAAGAGTCATCCAATTTTTTTTTCAGAATAATATATACATGGTACAACAAACTTGGCGTGACGTCACGTCATAGTCTCGTATCTTTCAGGAAATTTCCAGAAAATCTATTTTTAGAAGAAAAACTGGTTAATATATACTCTGAAAATATATTTTTAGGGAAAAAAAACAGTGAATATACTCTGATATTGACCTGGTTTTTTTTTACAAAAAGCTATTTATAGATTATATAATAATGTGATTTATCACATACCCGTGCCGCTTTTGCAAATCGGTAAAAATGATATTGCATGGCAGTGCATATATTTTGACGTGACATCATTTGCATTATAAAAACACAGATTTAAGACTCCCTATATGTTAGCGTTACACAATAGGCACATCATTGAAAAATTATTATTTTTTCAATTTAAACACTCTTTATCTTTGGTATGTGATAAATAAAATATAGATTCATGCTTAATTTATTTAAATAATATACTCGCCAGAGGCTCACATAATATAATTTATTTAACTTGTCCAATGAATTTCATTATTAAACTGACACTCATTCAATATCCTCTATATATTGTGATATTAACAGACATATTGCATATTGTGATATAATACAATATTAACAGACATATTGCAATAAGTTATGAACTATGTAAAATGCTTAAAATCAAGGGTAAGATCTACATAACCTTGACTTCATAGTTTTATTGTTGATATTATGTCCTTATAATTATCTATTTATGAGAGGCCCTAAATTATTTAAGATTTTGCACTGTGTTAAAAGTGATATTAATTGTAAAGGAGTTTCAACAACTTTATGCAATATCATTTGAAGTCAAGCTATATACAAGCAGAGAATTCTTCTTATTTTTCTTATTTGTAAGGGTTTATAAAAAGATAACCAGATAAAAGATAAATCAATAATTTTCGAGGTTCTACAGCTGATTGCATTGGCCAATATTATTTTTTATTCAGTACATATCATATTCACCAGCTGAAATTTAGTCCCAATCTGTTTTATTATAAAATGTGAAAATAACTTTTATATGCCTTTTTAATCTGGTTCTGAATAAGACACAATTCTAGATTTTTAATTTTCCATAACTTTGGTTAGGGTCTGTCAAAGAATGCACAGGATAATCTAAATTCTTACTAGTCCTAAATTAATATGCCAAATTACAAAACAATTCTTCTTTTTATCATTCATTTTAATTCATGACAATAACTAGTATTTGAACAAAACTTCTTTATAATAACAACAACAAATGGATGTGATGTCAAGTCATAACAGCAAAAATTGTAGACTTCTTGCAATAGCTTAAAACGATGTCATACTTATCTATGACCACACTCAATTAAGGCTTTACAATATTCAAATGCTATTAGAGTCATCAAAACTACTTCAAGTTCAAAGCAGGGAGGTACAAATGTAATTTTAAAGGAATATTCATATATTTTATGTTGTAAAATTTAAAAGATAAAGAACTATATACTGTAAATTTATGGTATTACTTAGTGCAACACTAAGCTAAGTCTAGTTAGACTAGTTTTGCACTGGTGATTTTTTGAGGGTTGAAAAAAAAATTGGTGCAAAACTCATACTAACTTGACTTAACCCAGTTTTGCAGTGACTAATTTGATCAGTTTGACTTAGCATGTTTACTTAAAATTTAAATATAATTACTTATATAGGGAATATGTTCAACATATTTTCAGGGATAAAGGGATGTTTGATTAGCTTTCAGAATTCATCAAAAAGTCCTTTTAGGTGAAATATGGACTTAGCTGAGTTTTGCACTGAGCCATCGAAACATTCTGACAAAGTTTGATGATGATCCAATCAAAACTGTGACTGCTAGACTGTTAACAACCCAATTGTTGACGACGAACGACGCACGACGACGGACGCCGGACATAGCCCCATCACTATACCTCACCATGACCACTTCGTGGTCAGGTGAGCTAAGAAAAAAAAGAACAACAGCCAAGTTCATTGAACTGGCATTATCTGATGTATGAATAAAACTTATTAACAAAAGAGTGAAAATAGATTGATGCCTTAATTTATTATGACAAAAAGCCAACAAAACTGAACATGTCAATGAAAATAACTCTCATATTTGGTAATAGAATTATTGAGTTATTGAGAAATGATGACATAAAATTATTGTTATGGCATAGCAATCTCACCCAGTCATTCATTTAAATTTAGTTTGTCACTAAGAATAACAATTATGAGATTAAATTGAAGTGAGGCATGTAAATCTATGCTGAAATTCTGTGAACCCAATAACCATAACTGTGATTTATTTGTTAACACTATTTTTATACATTTATAAATAAATTAAAAATTACTTTAGAAAACAGTATTATTTTAAAAAAGTATTTTTATGGAATTTATGAAAATTATTTTGTAGATTTAATCAAAAACTGTGATCTCAAGAATATGCAAAAGCTTTTCCTATGGTTTAACCTGAAGACCTAACTTTTAAACCAAGATGACCCATGTTGACACTTGACCTTAATATCTTCAAGACAGACATATTCAGAAAAGCACATTGACAAATTTTGATATAAATCTAAACAGACACCTTTAGAGTGTTCAAAACCAACTTGTGGGTGATAGAAAGATGACAGACAAATGATTACATGGACAACTGATAGATCATGAGCACTGCAAGCTCAGGTGAGCTAAAATCCAAGATATACTGGTGATGCTAGTTTGGTAAAAAAAATCAGATAAAAATGAAGCTGCTATTGTGTAACAAACATGAGCATGTAGCAGCGAGCTTACGTGTCAGTAAAAAATGCAGTTAATATTACCATCTTGTCCCAAAATCTTTAGGCTTGAGGAACTAGTCTGAAACATGTAAAAACAACAATGTTACAAGATAAACTCTTCTATAAAAAAGCTCACTAAAATAGTGAACAGTAATTATTAAATAACTTGATTTACAATTCAGGCTAGCCCCCCTCCCCCCAAATATTTGTCAAATAACTTTTAATACTTGATGTAGTTTTATATATTGTAATAAAGATTATTTAACTTGTTGAATACATGTATAAATCAATATGGAGAGCTCAATACTGATAGATGAGATAAAAACAAAATAAATAGAGCTCAATGCTAATAGATGAGATAAAAACAAAATAGAGCTCAATGCTAATAGATGAGATAAAAACAAAATAAATAGAGCTCAATGCTAATAGATGAGATAAAAACAAAATAAATAGAGCTCAATGCTAATAGATGAGATAAAAACAAAATAAATATAACTCAATGCTAATAGATGAGATAAAAACAAAATAAATAGATGAAGTATAAACTGAAGTCTAATGCTTACAAAGCACAAAAGTAGGTCAATAGGTCATCAGCACATATACCCAAGGCCTAATTTCATCTGTACAAATTTAATATCAGTGCCTGCTCCATTTCAAATAAAAAGCCTCTAGGTCTTATGATTTCAGACATGCAGATTTTTAAACAATTATTATTACACTATTAGTATTATCTATATAATATTATATCTTACTTGTTTCTTCAAGATTAAATCATCTCTCTTCCAGTTAGTTGACCTGAAAAAAGTCAAATTTATAAAATGATCTTTATTTCAAACTGCAAACCTAGTTCATTTGGTGACAATACTGTCTCATGATGTAAGACATTTGCATTAAATTATAATGCTCGGGACAAAAATGGATGCTACCTGCCTGCCTGTATGGGTGTATTTAAAATTCACCATAACATATTTAAGACTAAATTGCATCATGTTAAGTGGCTTGTGAGTCTTGTAATGCACAGTAATTGATGACTTTAAATAGCTGTTTTATTTTTTCAGAATCAGAACAGATATAAAACAAAAACAACACATGTCATCGCAATACAAACAATACTATGACAATAGCAGATTTCATACTAAAAATATTCAAATACTAAAGACAGTTTACCTTAGTATTCATTCAGATATGGTATCATAATGAAAATCTGTCTGTTAAAGGCATTGTACTCTGATATTTACATAAATGAAAATTCAAATTAAAGAAACAGCATACCTAACAGTGTCTGCTTTGTTACTATTTGATCTGTTGCCCTCTTTCTCTAATCGAAAGTTTTTTCTACCAGCATGTGCCATTGAATAATGCTATTTGTTTTCCTCTCTTAAATATGCTCTGCAAAAATTAAATCATTTAAAGCTTCTTAACATCTCCATAATCTTTAAAATTCTATTTGGCTGGTTATTTTGATAGTACAGAGTCCTGTTGATTAAGTTTCAAAGCTACAATTGTGTTAAAATTAGTGCAGTGATTGTAAGATAAAAGAAATAACCAAATAGTGTGGTTCAAATGAGTACATCTACTGTTAAGTAGAACTAAAAGAAAATTTAATCTATTTTTAAAAATATTTCCATGAAGTAAACAGTTGTGAAAATGTGTATTGGATCAATCAGTGTGCTACTGGCATTATTTTGATGCATGTTCAACTATATTTGTATGTGGAACAAAATTTTGCTATACAGCTTTTCAAATGGAAAAAAAAACATAGGTTCTACCTAGGTTCTACATAGGTTCAGAAACCAAGAGTTTGACAAAATATTACTTTCACCCCACATGATCTATGTCTGGCCCAGTAAATATGCATGAATATGTTGTTATTTTCTTGTGTCATTTAGTAGAAAATACTTACAAGCTACAGCTTATAACAGTTATGGTATGTTCTTTGCTTAAAATTGTTTCCCTTTTTGTTTCAAAGCGTTTTCATTAAGTACTGCAACCTAAAAAGAGCACCATGATATCACACACTTTTGGTTCTTCTTTGTTTAATAGGAATAAACAGTGGCGGATACAGAACAGGGTTGTCTGGGGGGGCTGACAAATGGGTGGAAGATTTTGACATAAACAAAATCAGGTGAAAATTGTGCATGCTTGAAGACAGGGCCAACATCATGGGACAAAAATTGTAATTGATGTGTCTAATAGCTCATCGTATGAGTGGCAATGTACTTTTTCTTGTATGTGTATACTACTGGTTTTGTAAATATTTAGAAGAATATTGAAACTGGAATTAAGAAAAATGCGGGTCGTGTTAGAATAAGCCTTAAATTATTCTCGGGTGACCAGGATTCATTACCCCGAGCATTTTACAGTGCTAGTGTAGTTTGATACGCTATTACTGGCATGCGAGCAGTTCCTATACAGAAACAGTACCCGTATTTTTTCGTTTAAACGCTTGATTGTTATTTGCATTCTTCAAAAATTGATATCAAATCAAGCAGATGCATAAACGAAACAAAATCTAACTGTCAGATCAGCAGTGCGTATAAAAAGTTTTCATTTTAAATCACAAACAGTAGTAATCAAGGTAAAAATTCTGATAATTAAACAGGTTTTCATCACATTGCCTACTTATCTGAACAAAGGTACGGGTATTAGTGGAAAACCCTTTAACAGGCCTCACATGTAAGTATTATTGGGCATGCATTCAAGGACAGAATCCCCCAAAGGTAACAAGGTCACGTTTCGACAACGCACAGGTGAATTTAGTACATTTAATAATTTTATGGTTTTAATGAGTAAAATATCATGCATACCAGCACGCCATTGCATGTGATTGTGTTGGGGTACCAGTACCGGGTAAAAGATACAAGCATTTAGGCTACCTCTGGGAAAATGGTCTCTTCAAACAATTATAAATGAAAAATAGGTCTGATATAACACCATTCGATAATTTCGGTACCCCATATGAGGGCCTCATAACTTTTTTTC